TAAATACTCATGAACTACCACGGAACCAGTTCACTTATGATTTTGATTTGACCATAGAACCTGTAGAAATACTCCCTAATTAATCGTAAAAAAAAAATCAACATTTCCTTATTTATTGCACCTTATTTTCAATATTTTAAAGAACATTATAGCAAGATTTGAATGTCATTTCACGATTTAAAATTTTGAGTTTTGTGATGAAGAATTCGTTCTTATTTTCAAATTATGATAGCACTTAGTCTCATACGAATAACGAATTTTATTCTGTTCTATTTATTATATTATTTATTAAAGAAAAACTTTTTAGTTCTACACTTTTCTAGCTCTTTTGACCCTATCCTTTTAATAAATCTTATACAATTGGATGGGAATAAAAATCAGGGTTACATGAAGTTCGGTTTTACCCCAAGTTATCCAACCTGACAACTTGAAGAAACGCCTAAAGCCCTACCTATGTGTATATGTGTAAAATAGTGCAGAATATCTAAAAGTGGAAACACTGCACGGACGCACGGCACGCGTTGGTGGTGGCGTTGGTGCTCTATAAACATTTTAGCACCAATGAGTCGGTGCCATTTTGTTTCTTCAATGACCCTGTTCATATGCAGTAGTATAATATGTAAGTCTATGCTTAAGACTGACTAATTAGAAGCGAACATAAATAAATTCGTAATGATGTGTAATTTACACTTTAAAAATCATGGGCTAAACACAAAGACTATATAACCACTTGACTGCGCATACAGTGCCCCGACGCCCGAAAACTATTAGTATTTTGTCGCCTATGCATCGCCTATGGTACTATTAACCAATTTAGTATTGTCCAAGTGTTAGACCTGTGTGCACGCTAAACTAATGCAAATTTTTATAACTTTTATGCAATTATATTGCATCAAAATGCACGGTGAAGTGGTGTGAAAAACATTCCAGGATAGATGTCCAAAAAGAAAGTAGTAACTTTTCATTGCTAAGTAAAAAATACGAAAATTATTGTTGATTTATTCAAATTATGAGCCATTGTAGGGGTCTATCTAAAACGGTGGCTGGTGAAATAACGACATGGTTGAGTCGCGCGTTGATGTCTTGGAAAAGTCTCGTTCTATTATTAGACAATTCTAATGCTTCTATCCCTTTCTTTCCCTTTGAATGTTTATCGTAAACATTAGGACTTACTGTTACCTTTAATAGCTCAAAGTCGATATCGAAAATAATAAAATAAAAATTAATAAAAAGATTATTCAATTCACACACTGTGAAAAAATACTTATCTACCTTTAACCGTCTCCAGAAAAAAGAGGAGGTTCTCAGTTTGTCAGTATTTTTTCTTAGTTAAAATTTATAGTTACCTAGTTAAATTAGTTAGATTGGTGTATCAAATCAGAACGGCTTACAATTTCAAAAGGACACTAAAAACAAGTTATTGTACGGATCCACTACAGTAATATATATTTGTCGTCGTTGTAAAATTTTTAATAAGAGAGCGAACAGTGAGAGTGGTTCAAAAGTGCTGTCTTCGAAATATAGTACCAATTATTTTATGAGAACGGTTTTTAAAATCTCTGATTAGGTATTATTGATTCCCGTATATTCATTTTCATCAATTTGAAATAGAATCAACAAATCATTTAATTTAATTAGCAAGATGCATAATTTACAAATATGTAGACGCTTGTTTAAATTTTTTTACAAAGAACAATCAGGACCCTTAAACTTTAATTCGAAATAAATATAACAAATTAATTCATTTTAAAAATCAATAATAATATAATAAATAAATGTTTTCGTTGTAACCGATTGATTTTGATTAAATATTATTTCTATAATTTTAATTGAGTATTTTTCATAATGATAAAATCCATTTTATCGATAACGAATATTTTCCTTTATTAAGAAGAGCAACCCTAAAGATAGCCATAACAACGTAACTTGACCATTTGCAGCCACGCGTTCTTCCTCGTCCCCCGGCCCGCAGTAGTGAGTCGTATGCTTAGAAGAAATCTGCCTATACGCTCTCTAGTGGTTATATTCTCTATGGCTAAACACATTATGACCCATACCATACACTTATTGGCATTACTTTCTATGGCGAAATGCCCTGCTGTGGAACTCTACCCCCCTAAGTTGATGTTAATTTTAATGTACTTTGTTGTTACATTATTTGCCGCAATATTCTGATCTCGTCTCATATTCTCTAGAAGCTTAGTTTTCTGAAAGTTTCACTTCTACGGCATGTGAACTAGAGTTGTTCAAAATGACTATAAATCAATAGCACGCTACAGACTTATAAACTATATTTTTAGCACGCTATTAAATACGCTATGATATAGCGCGCTATTTAATAATTATAAGAAAACGTGTGGAAGGCCGGCAAGTGGGTAAAGTTTTGCGGGACGCTACATCTTGTAGCACGTTACTTACATGTCGTTAGTTGGATAGACCGCGTGCTATATAAGAACATTATTTCGTAGTAATTCACATTTTAGACTAATAAAAATATGGCAGTAAAGAAAACCAATGAACACTCTTTCGTACTTTTCAGGCTTACGACTGTCTATATTCGATTTAAACGTTATTTAAACCTCAATGTACATTATAATTCAATTGAAGGCCTATTTGAAAGCTTATTGCTTGTATATACAAAAATGAACTATTTACTTACATACACTTTTGTATCTATATTTTATTTATAAATAAAAACATGAGGCTAGTTTTGTAGCAGACAACCGTGTCCTTCGATCACTTATAAATATACAGTATTAATACATACATCTAACACTAAATAAGGTCGTGCGCGATGAATAGCGTGCTCTGGTAAATCAAATTTGCGTCACAGGTCCACTGCCAACAGCGCTGCTGCTATAAATAGTTGCCGTTAGACTAGCATTAAGGTGATGTGGGCGCCAAAAGCAGATTTTTGACGCTTTAAAAGTGCAATTTTTTGTCATTAAAAACTACGAATTCACATTTTTTTTTTCAATTTATTATGAAAGTTAAATATTTTTCTTAGGGAATTACAGTGGCCAAAACACGTTTGACACATTTTGGCTCGATAAAAAAAGATCGTAGGGTTTCCTCAAAATCTACAATTTTAGGTACGTCCACTAAGTGAAAAAGCAGTTTCATTCAAATGTAATGAAATCAATTTCAATTAAATTCAGGCTATGTGTTCACCAGTAAATACGTCAGTGAATATTGGTTTATTTTTCAATAAAAGAGTATATATCATTCTAAAAGAAATATCAAATAAATATTGTGCGATTAAATAGCGCGCGGGTCGACCAAACAATCCCGCCAGTCGTCCCCAGCGCGGTGTAGATAGCACCCGTGTACAACTTTATCACGTCCGCTGTCGTCGTATGAACGTAACGATATATTAAAAAATATATTGATAAGCGTGGTATGCCATTGAGATGTAGTGAAAAATTAGGCATCCAAACCGCTTTAAATGCCATCCTTAGTCCTAGATCCACTCAAACAGTGAGCTAGTAGCAAGTAATAACTATGTAAATAAAGGTACTAAGTACAATGTCTATAAAACAAACTGATAAGTAAAAATTTGTTATCGTTATGAGTAAAGTGACCATTTAATTTTTTCTTCATAGCGGGACACCTTTAAAATGATTATAGTTTTGACTGTCTTCTTGGCCTAACGGTTGTAAACGCAATTGCTGATCATGTGGTCCCGGATTCGAAACCCGATTCGGGCCAAAAATTGGGTTTTTCTATCACAAAATTCTCAGTAGCAGTCCAGAATATTGATTTCGAACTTACTGAAGTTGGCGGGGTTTCACCACCGTGCCTCCGGAAGCACGTAAAGCCGTTGGTCCTGCGCCGGATCTCCCTCCCGTCGTCTTGGATTACGTTTCCATCGGACTTTAAGAGTGAGGGAGTAGGGTAGAGCTGTGATTGCGCATATAAACTTGGGCAATATAATTCTGTCCTGCGCAGATGGGATATTCTCCGTTGAGAATGGCGGCCGTTACCAAAATTCAATCTGGAATCCTTTATTATAGTTTTAAAAATAAAACACATAGTTGTTTGAATCTTTTATTAATTGAAAGTGAGAATGAGCATTTAGAATCATAGAAAATCTGGCTACTGGCTTTTTAATTTTTTCTGAACAGCTAATAAATACTAATTAGAAATGACTTATGTCATTTGATAATTTATTGTAGATTAATTAAAAATTGTCACATCGTAACTTTAAATTTAAAAGTTTAGGTTTTCAAAATAATTACGTAACTCTAGTCAGGCCATGCTGGCCACCAAACGCGTACCAGGTATGTACGCGCGGTGTCATATTGATGGCACGGGTGACAGTTTGCATAATGCTACGCTTTTGTCAGGCGGGACATTTTTACGTATTTTAGGGACAGCGGGACACAAACCTTTAAATCGGGACCGTCCCGCCTAAAGTGGGACGTATGTTCACGTTAGATATGAAGGAACTCATATATTACAGATATACTTTGACAAAGTGACGGCTCCGTGGCGCACTGGCTTGGCAATGAGTGGCTGCGCTGGGGGCCGCGGGTTCCAATCCCGCACGGAACAAGTATTTGTATGGCCTACAAATAATTGTTTCGGGTCTGGATGTTAGTTCTCGTACAATTTATGTTTATAAACTGCCTCCACGATACAGGAGAAAATCCTAGTGTCCTAGTATCTGCTTCACCCCCTTAAAATCTACGTGAACACGATTCACGATAACATTTCGTCTTAATTGCGCCAAAGCGCTATAGCGCCGCGGCGGCTACTTACATAGCACGCGCTATGCGCTATGGAGCGATAGCGCGCTATAATATGGCGCTATGCGCTATATTAACCACCATTAATGTGAAATGTGAACTGTGAACTGTACACATGTCTTTTATATATTAGTTTCATGAGAGCCTGAATGCTTTAAGGTTTTGTATTTATTAATATATTTTGAAAAATGTTAAAGTATCACACTTTTCCGAGAGTTATATATATTAATATTCTCTCTGTTTTTCCAACAGACTGATAGTCGTTACGAAGTTACGCAAGATGTAAAGGGGCAACTAAAATTCTTGGAAGAAAGAGATCGCGTTGTAAAGAAGAGACGTGAGGACTCGGAAAGAGAGATGTTAATGCGTGCTGCCAAGTCACGTTCGAAGAATGAAGATCCCGAACAGGCGAAGTTAAAGGCTAAGGTAATTTCCCTATAAATGGTTTTTGATATATGAAAATAATTAATAAGTTAATATGTTAATTGTATTTCCCAAAAATAGGCGAAAGAAATGCAGCGTGCGGAGTTGGAGGAGGTACGGCAGCGTGAGGCGAATCTAACGGCTCTGCAGGCTATTGGACCCCGTAAAAAACCCCGTCTTGGCGAGGGACCTGGAGGTTCAGGTGATGCAGTTTCTAATGGCAGTGGACATACCGGAAATGGTTTTGTAAGTATTTGTATAAAGCATACATCTTTATATAAAAATACAAAAGGTCGGGCAAATAAATGCTTTAATTTAGTTTAATCTCAATAAAAACTATCAAAAAAAAAACAATCGATTTAAAATACGCAATTGCAGTTTGAAGTGCACATTTTAGCTTATGAATAAACACCTTTTGAGGAAAACAACATATGTCTTAAGGAATTGAGAATAATTTGTGAACTCCTTTCTAGCATTAAAACCCTTAAAATAAGAGCGGAAGCCTAAGTCCTGCTGGGAGGCATTTATATTATGTTACAGTTATTGTTTTTATGGGCTTACTTTCTTCACTTTATCTTTAAATTTTTTGAAGTGTGTTTTTTGAAGGAGTGACAGTGCATGCTTCTTATTTCATAATTGAGGATAGTTGCATGGTTCTAAGAGCTATAATCATCCACTATCCAAAGAAAAGAATTATGTGTACTAATTTTTAATTTTTTCTTAATTAATTGAATTATTTCTTTTGTTGTTTTTTTAACTTCTCTTCTGCTTATTTTCTATAATTACATTAGTTTACAACAAAAACCTTCTTTTATAGACTGGAAGGAGTCAGCTGGCTCTTAGAACGCGCATTAAGCGAATAAATCATCGCGACATGATTTATCTTTTGGAGCAAGAACGGGAAACAGCACACTCACCAATGCTTTTCCGAAGTTATTTGAAGTGATACAAGGGAGATGCTTCGGCCCTGGAGGTTGAAAATCATTTATAAATAACATAACATTTAAAATGTTTGTGAGATGTGAAAAGTTCGATAAGGATTGGAGTCTGATAAATACTGTGTACTTGTATAGAAAAAGTGATCCATTCATTATTATATAATTTATTATTATTATTATTCACTAATATTAATGTTATAAATTATTATTATTATTAATTAAGAGCCGTGGTAGCTCAGATGGTTAACGCTCGCTGTAAATATAACAGAACGCGAGTAACCCGGGTTCGATCCCCGCCGGCACCAATGAAATTGTTAATTGCAATTTTAAGTGCTGATTTACCACGTGCTCGGCGGTGAAGGAAAACATTGTGAGGAAACTTGCATGTCTAAGGAATAAGAAAAAAATTATTTCGAAGACATGTGAAGTTCGCCAACACGCATTAGGGCAGCGCGGCGGACACTTCCTTGCCCTAAAACCCTCTCAGAAATGAGAGGAGGCCTGTGCCCAGCAGTGGGATGTATATAGGCTGTAACTTTACTTACTTTACTATTATTCATTAAATGTAAATGGATTGATCTGGTTGTGGTGAATATATTGGGCGTTTCGGACTATGCTTGATATACTTTACCAGTAAACTATATTTCACTGTGTCGCTTTGACATAATACTTTCAAAATTAGAAGTGTTATAATAACCCTTATGTACCTATTATAATAAAATATTACTCCCTAGGTTTTAACACTCATAGAGCTTGTCAACATTTCATAAGGGTATAAAAATAAAATTAAAACCTATCATGATCAAATTTTACATTTTAGGTAGCGACTGATTTTGTGCTTTATTACCTATGCAGTTAATTTTTTTTTGTTGTTAACTAAATTGTAAATATTAGATGATAATTACTTTGTATCGACATATTTGTCGGGATTTCCTGATAAAAATTTTAGTTTTTTTTATAGTTTTTCAAGAGCGTTTTAGGAATTATATAGAAATAATAAAAATATAGAAAAGTAAAGTATTGTAGTTAAAATGGTTTTATGGGCCTGCCTGAGTGTGTCTTATATTGTAGGTTTATAGTTGTCAGCCTGACTCATGTTGATTGTTTTAGTTTTAACAATGTTTAACCATAGTCATTTAAAATAAACATTCCAGTTGGAACTAATAGGAACTTACATTTTTCATTATATTTTTAATGCAAATTGAATTGCAACTATAATGATCATAATTTACTATTCAACTATTCAGCAAATGTATTTAACATTTGCTGACAATTGCACCTCATCAAGATCAGAAAATTTTACCAAAAACTATTTTTACTATACAAAATCATCTAAATGCCAATGTGAATTTGGCATAATTATATTACTCATTTTTAACTTAACTGTAGGTGGATCCTTTTTTACAATTAGTGCATGTGTGTAGATCAAATCTTGCAACTGGATTTTTAACCTGTTCAATCTAACCGATTGAGCTGCAATTTTGAATACATGTTGTGCTAGTAACAATTTAATGTATTATACACAGTTTTATATTTTTTCGAAAGTACCGCCACTCCTAGGTGAAGGCGTATTTATTTGTAATTATAATTAATAATTACAATAATTGTTTATTTCTATTACAATACAAAGTATTTGTGTTTCTGTATTTTTATAGAATGTAATTTTTTCTTTAGTACTCAGTAGCAGTAATCAGGTGTATTCATTTGTGAAGCATGAATTAATACTATATAAGTAATATACAATATGGGTTTGCTTAGTGCGCACACCACACTTTATTATTATTACTTCTTCAATCAAATGAATTATTTTATGAAATAAACAAACTTCATGTATAACCAGATCTAATAATATTTGTATAGAGAGTATCTTTGGTATCTATTTTAACCCTTTACTGGAATCGCTAAAATAGGTAACGTAGTTGGTATCGGGGGTGAAAAATGACCCCTTTAATTAAATGATGCAAAAATATTACAAATAACCACATATTTTCAAATTTTATTTATTAAACTACAACTTTGAATCTAGAGATCAATCAGTATTCAAGCCCAAATTAATCTTAAATCACATTTTGTTTTCAAATTAACCTATATCCTTCTTTTTTGTAATTACTGTAGGTACATGTTACTTTAGGAACTCTTCTTTCTATTAAAAACATAAATATAACATTATTTTTTTTCTTGTCTCGTTTTCTTATATAGTCTAGATATAAAAAAATAGAAACTTCTTTTCAGATGTACTAAAAATAAAAAAATGACAACATAAAACAAAAGTTCCAAAAACTACCTCTAAATTTCTAACATTTGGTACATGTGACTTCTTTGGCAGTATGCTCTTTACAAATGAAAAGTAAGCACTTGCTACACTTTTTCGTACACTTTAGGTCTTTTTTGCGATCACATAAGTAGCACCTTCCTTCTACCTTCCAGTTAAATAATGTGTTTTAGCGTCGCACAAACACAACACTTTTATGCCGTATCTAGCTGGCTTGGATTTCATGTAAACTCGGAAAAGGCATCTACCTCTAAATGGGCATAACATTTCATCCACAGTAAAGTGTTCTGAGCATCTATAATTTTTTTGACAGTTTTCAATGAATTTGTTGAATATTTCAGAAATAAGCGCAGCCCTGTCGGTCTCGTTTCTTTCGTTTCTTGTCATCATCAAATCGTAATGCTGATAAAATAAATAAAAACCTCTTTAGAGAGTGACTCTAAATACATCGCGACCTGTGCCATCTGTAGCCCATAAACTATCAACATCCTCATGTCCGGACTTGAAAACACCGGCAAGTAGCAAAAGTCCAAAAAATGCCTTCATTTCTAATAAACTTACATGATCAGTATGCGCTCCTTGGCTGCTATACTTCTCAGTAAATTCAGTAATTTTTTCGTTTGTGTGCAAACACACAATTTCGATCAGATCATCAGGAATCAGCAATTGCCAGGATTCAGTTTCCGTCATATTCATTTTCTCACGCGCTTCTCCTGCGAGGCCCAGATGATGTGTGATTATATTGTGTTGTCTTACCCGGGACGAGCTAGGTGGATTTTTAGACCACTTGTATCTATTTTTACCCCTATAAAAACCAAGAGTTTGTATAGTTTCTTCTTCTTCCTCACTGCTTGAACTTGAAGAATCCAAATCTGTACCTAATGTACTTTCTTCAGAACAGCTGACTACCTCCGCTTCCTCACAATCACTAATGTCTTCATCGTCACAGAATGTTGTTGTGGTGTTTTGGACGGTTTCTGAATCAGATTCTTTATCTTCGTCTTCCAAAAGTTGCGCAATTTGATTTAAATTTAAAAAACCAGACATCGTGATGATTATTGCCTAAAAAAGATATAAAAATGTTTCAGAATGAATGTTGTTTGCCTTTACAAAATGCTTGTACCTCCGCTTCCAGCAATATTAGAGCGACGAACGTCCGTCACTCGCCGCACCTTGCGACGTACTGATATTACATAGACGCGCAAGAGTGTGCGTGGTTAGACTAGGAAGAAATGATGGAATATGTGTTCGCTTGGGGTGATTTGTGACCCCCGATACCAGTTAAGGGTTAAAAGATGCTATGGTACTTGTGAATAAATTATATCTTACTGTAATACTGTAAAAAAATGTAATTATTATCTCAACTATGTGAAGGTCAACTTGTTGAAAGTCATACAGAAACTTGTTATAAATTAGAAAATATTTATCTTATTATAAAATTATACATTGAATTCACGATTAATTGTTTAGAATGGGTGAGAATACATTTAATAATTAGGTTGTACTTGATGAATGTGATATAGTTTAGCAGTCCGTAACTTCAACCAAAAGCAATTTCAAAAGATATATTAGCGTAGTTTGATTTGCAGTATATAGATATTGGCTTCCATTGTAAATAGTATGGTTGTTGTAGTGGAGTGTAAACTAAAATTGTGTGTGAATTTCTTCATTACTTTTGAGACAAGTATATTTTGGATGTTATGTTATTTGACAACTTTTTTCTTATGGTTATAATTGGCCTTACTAACAGAAAGTAATATTTTTCTATGAGATATGTGGTAAATTGTGCATTCACATACATTATATAACGTTTTCGAGTATGAGCTACTGTTATTATGTTTCTGTTAATACAATTATTTTCATTTGAAATTTAACCATACCGTACCACTGCGGGTAAAAGCTTTTTCAAGAATGAACTTTTGCTAGCATTTTGTAAAAGATTTGCCCTCACATCACACTCAACATATGGATTGATGAGCATCCAGTCGAAGCCAATGGATTTATAATCCGGTTGATTTAATTAGAGAATTTTCGATTCTAAACACCGCTAACACCAGACACTTTTAATCAGCAGTGAGTGACCCATGATGAGATGAGCTTGACATTAAAAGAGAGTTTGTACGGAAATATAGGTGAGTCTGTTAATTAACGTCTTGCAAATAGACTGAAGGGAACAGGCGAACACGGAGAGTGATACTGTGATGGGAACAAATCCCATCAGCCAGCAAGGTATGTAGACACTTCGATGAGTCATATAACTCTTATAAAATCTCTCACACTCAACTTTTGTGTTATTGCATCCCAAATACTTTTGATTTAAATGACTAGTTACTCTATTGTACAAAGTGTTTGGTATTATTTTTGCAATTAAATTTATTTGCTATTAACTTTTATGACTCAAACAATGTTACTGATTTTCCGAAATAGTTATTATGTAAATATAAATATAAGATTGCGGTGTCAAATGTGATTCAAAGTGTTGTTCGCTTAAATGTAATTGTGTATATAGTCTTTATTATTAAAAACATTTTTTTAAAAGGTCTTTAATTTTTACAAGTTTCCTCAGACTGGGTACAGACTACAGGCTAACTAAAATTGTTATAATGCCTTTTTATTCCAACATTTTGTGTATGCCCTATTGCTGTTACGTTTTCAAATGGCGGAAAAAGGTGTATTGTTTATTTCTATTAACTTTTATACGTTAAGACTAATAACATTGTTAAAATTTGACTGTGCAGTGTAAAAAAAACTGGTGAGGTCTTGATGCATTGATTAGTTATTATGAGACTCAAATTAGTTACTTTAAAAATTGGTAATATTCTACTTTCAATCATATCAATCATTCTAGTGAAGTTCTTAACGTAAGGAGGAAAGTGAACTATTTTCTCCACCATTCTAAATGTCAGATGTTACTATAATCTGCAGACAAGGAAAATATTATATTATGTACTTATCTGATATTAAACAGGTTTTAAATATATTCTGTTTTTATCTTAAAAAGTTAATGCCGCGTCGCGTCATATTTCATTTTAGTCTGACCTTTTAGGTCTTGTTGCATAGAACACTAATACCTGCCTTTTAGGCGTTTCTCACGTGAGAAAATTATTAAATTGCGTAGCTGAAATGCTGGCATTATTATGACTATCTAATAAGCTATTTAAGCACGCTGGTTTCTCCTGAACAACGCTACAAAAATAATTTGGCTATAAACGGAATTCCCTTTTCATTTTTTGAAAGAATTACAACACAAAAGCAATGTTTTAATACACTACTACGTATCAAGGTTGAATATGCATGTAATACTAGTCCGTCAGTGGTGGCCCTAGCAAAATTTTTAGGTGGTGCGAGATCTCATAGTGGCGCCCCTCTAAATACAAAACCTTAGTGTTCCTATACTATTCAGTTGCTTTTCGTAATTTTAAATAGTATTAGACCTATCAAATATGTACAGGTGTGTATTTAGGGCAAGCACAGTTGTGTCTGTTGCTCTTGCCATAGCAGTTGTACTGCTTATTCGCCTTAGAGAAATGTTGTCCATTCCGCTCTCACCACTGTTGCGCTCGACAACGCTACTATGCTTGCCTTATTGCGATGTTAGTTAGTTTTTCAGGTACACAAAATGTACTCTGTGGACTAGTTATACAGCTTATTGCTCATAATGAGAGCACTGACTTAGAAGTATATAGGTATTATATCTCCATGAATGAGAGTTATAAATCTTGTTTGACAACTTGTATTTAAACTGCTGTTCTACATATGGAGTGTAGAAGTAAGGAGTACCAACTCCCATAGGAGGATAGTTAAAAAAGTGTCCATCTGTAAGCAGTAAATAACAGTTCAAAAACTCTCCACAACAGCGCTGGAGTAGCTACTGGGATGAAATGAACTTAACAGTTGTCGACGGTTTGAAGTGTGCTGCTTAACTGCTCAGTAGCTCTAAAATCTAAAATAATTTTATTTAGTAAAGAATTTTGATAGTTTAAGTCAAGTAACCAATGCACTTTTAATTATATCAATCACAGGGTAAAAAACGTTCATTTTAAACAATTGTTTAAGATCAGTTGGTGTCTCAACTAAAGCTTCGTACACAAATAATATTTTCTTTCTTCGGGATCGGGCCGTCTTGAAAATTGAATCTATCTGTTATTAGAGCAAATGAAAAGGCTCGGTACTGTTTCAAAATTCTGATAAAATTTTCAAACAATACGACACCTTTGGTACCTAAATCTATAGATTCAGACTGCATTTTTTTTTGTGCTAGCAGCTATGCAGATCTAGAAAGACCAATATCACTGCGAACTAAAAATCTATTGTGATCGCTGCTATGGTTATAGTTCACTGCTAAGCCCTATGTGTTCAATGAATAGGAGTTGCTTAGCTGTGAGCAATTTGTATTCTTCTGGGCGAAGTAGATAGTTTCCCAGATGTGTTACGTTTGCGCATAATGGGTCCACAATCAGTCAGGATGTATAGAGGCGTTAAGGAACAAAAACGGCACATCCTTGAGTTGCTTAGTTCCTGTATGGTCATGTGCTTTTCAAGACAACAGTGTCTACGTCAAGGCTCTTTTTTTTAGTATAATCTCAATTTTTCCCTAATTCCTCAATTTTTGCCTGTCCTAAGCCAGGATGAAAGTATGAAGGAAAAGTTACATCACAGGTTATGTGTACCTATTGTGTTTTATTGGAATGTCGTGTAGGTAGCTAGCGCGGGCGGTGATCTTTACAGTGATTACGTCACTCGGGCGCATAGGGTACCCATGAAATGACGGTGTCGGACATAAACTTTAAATTTTATGAAAGAAAAGAGCGTTTTTTTTTTCTAAATTCGGATAATATTTTTATATTAAAGCCACTACCTATGGTTTTAGTGACAACGGTGTTTACACTTACACCTTGTATATTAGCTTATCTATGATGCTCAGCTTCTTGAGATGCGCATATCATTCTTTTTTCTTTCTTTATGAGGCTGTATTAATTAATTGCTTGATTCACATAAATACTTGAAAATATGTTATTGTTTGTAAATTATTTTAAATGCTTAAGTGTAAGTGTTTGTTCTTACAATAGGTTCCCCTGGTATCCGTTGGGTTTAGGTATTGTCTATATCATCAGCGGCACATTGTTGAGAAATTTTTGAAACAAAATATTTTTTAGAATAATTTCATTTTCATATTATACTTAAGTCCGCGCGCTCTATCTTAGATGGACCTATATTAGTCGCGAGTAGCTTCGAAGATGTCATTAAGTGTAGAGTCATAAGAACCGTCTGTGTGTCCGTAGAAAAGCGTCTGAAAGCGTTAAATAAGTTGGGCGCCACTGTAGCTAAAGGGTATATTTTAAAGAACGTTTCATAACTTTTTATTGCATAAACTTTCACCATAATTCCTTTTTATAATAATTATTTAATTGTTATCAAAATTTTTATTTTCAAAAACACTTCATTCTACGGCAACTTTTTTTAGATTGTTATTTACTAAATTGTTTAAGAAAACGTGAGTATTAAATGTTTTTAATACTGCAGTTTCTTCGATTATGCTAGTCACCATAAATATTAAAATTATGGAGTGTAGAAGTAAGGAGTACCAAATCCCATAGTAGAATAGTTGAAAAAGTGGCCATCCATAAGCAGTAAATAACAGTTCAAAAACTCTCCACAACAGCGCTGGAGTAGCTACTGGGATGAATGAACTTAACAGTCAGCACACCTCACTCCGTAGACAACTGCTAAGTTCATTTCATACCCTCTAGCTACTCTAGCGCTGTTGTGGAGAGTTTTTGAACTGTTATTTACTGCTTACAGATAGGCACTTTTTCAACTATTCTCCGTGTAGTGTAGTAGATGTAGTTTTTATACCCCTATTACACTACATTGAATCAGGGTCTCTAAACCCTTAATAAGGGTGGTGTAAATAAGAGTTAGAAAGTTAGGTTCTTATTTATGGCGTCAAAGTGGACCCAGTCTGCAGTGCGCTTACCACCGTGCGAAGTCGCGTCCGGACCGCGTTCGCCGCTGGTCACGTCCGTCGGTCGTCGGCTTCCGCCTGG